GAGAGAGAGAAGGAGAGAGAGAGAGAGAGAGAGAAGGAGAGAGAGAGAGAGAGAGAGAAGGAGAGAGAGAGAGAGAGAGAGAAGGAGAGAGAGAGAGAGAGAGAGAAGGAGAGAGAGAGAGAGAGAGAGAAGGAGAGAGAGAGAGAGAGAGAGAAGGAGAGAGAGAGAGAGAGAGAGAAGGAGAGAGAGAGAGAGAGAGAGAAGGAGAGAGAGAGAGAGAGAGAGAAGGAGAGAGAGAGAGAGAGAGAGAAGGAGAGAGAGAGAGAGAGAGAGAAGGAGAGAGAGAGAGAGAGAGAGAAGGAGAGAGAGAGAGAGAGAGAGAAGGAGAGAGAGAGAGAGAGAGAGAAGGAGAGAGAGAGAGAGAGAGAGAAGGAGAGAGAGAGAGAGAGAGAGAAGGAGAGAGAGAGAGAGAGAGAGAAGGAGAGAGAGAGAGAGAGAGAGAAGGAGAGAGAGAGAGAGAGAGAGAAGGAGAGAGAGAGAGAGAGAGAGAAGGAGAGAGAGAGAGAGAGAGAGAAGGAGAGAGAGAGAGAGAGAGAGAAGGAGAGAGAGAGAGAGGGAGAGAGAGAGAGGGAGAGAGAGAGAAGTTCAATATTTGTGGAATTTCGGGTAATATTGTCCGGGCCGAGATGTGAAATAATGACTTAGAGAAAGAACCAAAACCGATATCAGAGCCAATACCGGACCTCACAAGTATTCCCCCTCCTGAGACCCTCCGCACCCCTCCTGAGACCCTCCGCACCTCTCCTCAGACCCTCCACACCCCTCCTCAGACCCTCCACACCCCTCCCGAGATATTATTATTATTGGTGCATCACAACTGGAAATGTGTTTTTTTTAAATAAATGAACTATTTAAAAAAAAAAAAAGTGTAATCACCTTAATTGGTATCAGTCTCTTGCGTTCTACTATACAGCAGAGCTCAGAGAGCGGGAGGGAGAAGCAGCGCAGGGAGCCAATCAGTTGTGCGGCAAGTGCAAGGAGTTTGCTAATAGGAGGAGAGAGCAGAGTGACTGAGAGATGAGATCGGTGTGCTGCAAGGGCAAGGGTGTCAACTGGAGCGGAGACCGGGTGACACCCAGCCGTGATGTCATCACGCATGTGCGGCCATCTCATTGACGCCTGCCGGCGGATGAGGTATGCCGCCGGGTCCCCTCCTCTCCAGTGACACTGTCGGGCTCTCGGTCCATGACCAAGTGCCCGACTTTTTAGAGGGGGTGACACCAAAACGTCTGTCAGTCATTTTGGTGTCACCCCTCCAAAGGTGTCACTGCACCCCCCGTGTGACGCCACTGCTGCGGGCAGGAAGGAGCTTTATAAATGCGGCTCATGTTCTGATGGATATCCATTGTAATGAATGCGGCAAATCTTATGGTCCTGTACACAGCTCCCTGCCTCAGTACTCCTCCTAAGAGCCCTCAGCCATGATGCATGTAGGCGGGGTTCACTCTCGGGGTGTTGCGTGTGTGTGTTCCCTCTTGGGTTGGCTGAGTAACCCCGTGTATGCAACTTGAAACCAGACACCCCACGGTCAGGGGCCACGGCCTTGGCCTCGTGCAAACACTCCCACACGTGTAGCACTACGTACACAGGGCCTCATGGCTTCCACCGCCTCTGCGGTCTTCGGCGCTTCCTCCCCCCCGAGGAGAAAGGCCACCATGAACGGCACCCTGTGTCAGGCATTGCCCCATTGCGCACCTACCCTCCTCAGATGGTTACAGCCACGTTACAGTCCACATCATACTTCGGTAGAACCTTCTCAGAGGTTGGAGGGAGAAGAACCAGTCCACTCAGATAGTCTTTTTGTTGATTTTACTTGAAGATATTAACAGCACAAAGTATACTTTTCAGCCGCCCCCGAATGGGGTGACGGCACATCACTTGTTACTTGCATGGCGATACGATTTAGAGAGAGAGAGGTACATCAGCCCAGGTGCAGCCCAGAGTCACGACTTACTTCGGCCATAGGCCCCCTGGCGAATATCGTCAGCCTTCTAGCACTTCACTAGTCTCCGGAATCCCATCCATTGTCCGTCCTAGCACGGTGGGTTTCCCCCTGTGGGGAAACTAGGGAATCTTTGTAGCTCTACATAGTCCTAGGCCTGGTCCTGTCCTTCCCATGGACCAGCCTATATTCAAGAAACAGTCTCCCTCCAGAGACTCTGCAGCCAGTCTTAGACTTCTTCTGTACTCCTCTGAACAACAACTCCCTCCCCTCTCGGGCGCCCCCTATATATCAACTCTCCTGGGACACAGAGTTTCCCCAGGCCAGAGCTGCATCTATCTCCAGGGCCCCATGGGGGCATCTAGTGGCCGTTGGCCATACTGCACCTACCTACGTGCAAGTAGTGGGCCGGCTCTTGGGAGGAGTTATGCAAATATCAAAATGCCTTGATAGGTGGGTCTCAGTCTGGAGGAGCGGGCATACCTAGGCAGGTTGTATTTGCATGAAGACCACCTTAGGTAACGCCTCCATGTGATGCTCCGTGATTGAAGGGACTGAAATGCAATAAACAAATGGGCGGGGCCAGGGACAGTCAGGCCGGGGAGGAAAGTGCTAGATGATGCTGGACGTCCCCCAGCCAGGAAGTGAGGTTGCTGCAGTTTCTAATGCTCACCTTCTTGTTTTCGATGCGCTTGGAATGTATTTGGCTGACTCCAACAAAAAGTCCATAATCAGTGTGGGCAGCGGGAGGGGAGTGCAGCGGGGGGCGGGGCGGGTGCTGCAAAGGTCGTTACCATGATGAACGGCGGACGGAAAGTTTGGAAGACGCGACGACGGGGGAAAAAATTAATTGAGAAAATATGACGTGAAATAAAAATTGATTTAATAAGTTATTAGGATCGGATTATAAAGATGGCGGCGGATTACGGAGGCGAATCGCCGTCAGCGGACGTTTATGAAGGAGGCGGGAGATAATAACAAACATAAATATCGCTGAATTACGATTCGCTGATCCCGAGTTTCACATTTGCATATAAATTGAACTCTGCGGATATTTAATGTTTTTTTTTGTTGTTGTCTCGCGCCCGTCGCGGTCCTCGCGTCGCCGCGTTTTATGACGATTGAAGGGAAGCCAACGCTCGGCTTAGGGTGGGGAGCGCGTTCAATCGTCGTCCCCGAAAGACAAAGAAAAGAGCGCAACCTCCCAGGTGTGCAGGAGCAGAGCCGGAAAATATGGAGGAGGGGTCTGCTGGAGCGTCATACATACAAGAAGGCGGGGGAGGGGGGCGTGTCCAACCATCAGGCTTCATGTCTCCATGCATTGCGGTAATGGACGGAGGTCAGATAGAAGACTGAAGGGGAGGACGGAGGGCAGATAGAAGACTGAAGGGGGGGACGGAGGTCAGATAGAAGATTGAAGGGAAGGCCGGAGATCAGATAGAAGACTGAAGGGGAGGACAGAGGTCAGATAGAAGACTGAAGGGAAGGACGGAGGTCAGATAGAAGATTGAAGGGAAGGCCGGAGATCAGATAGAAGACTGAAGGGGAGGACAGAGGTCAGATAGAAGACTGAAGGGAAGGACGGAGGTCAGATAGAAGATTGAAGGGAAGGCCGGAGATCAGATAGAAGACTGAAGGGGAGGACAGAGGTCAGATAGAAGACTGAAGGGAAGGACGGAGGTCAGATAGAAGATTGAAGGGAAGGCCGGAGATCAGATAGAAGACTGAAGGGGAGGACAGAGGTCAGATAGAAGACTGAAGGGAAGGACGGAGGTCAGATAGAAGATTGAAGGGAAGGCCGGAGATCAGATAGAAGACTGAAGGGGAGGACAGAGGTCAGATAGAAGACTGAAGGGAAGGACGGAGGTCAGATAGAAGATTGAAGGGAAGGCCGGAGATCAGATAGAAGACTGAAGGGGAGGACAGAGGTCAGATAGAAGACTGAAGGGAAGGACGGAGGTCAGATAGAAGATTGAAGGGAAGGCCGGAGATCAGATAGAAGACTGAAGGGGAGGACAGAGGTCAGATAGAAGACTGAAGGGAAGGACGGAGGTCAGATAGAAGATTGAAGGGAAGGCCGGAGATCAGATAGAAGACTGAAGGGGAGGACAGAGGTCAGATAGAAGACTGAAGGGAAGGACGGAGGTCAGATAGAAGATTGAAGGGAAGGCCGGAGATCAGATAGAAGACTGAAGGGGAGGACAGAGGTCAGATAGAAGACTGAAGGGAAGGACGGAGGTCAGATAGAAGATTGAAGGGAAGGCCGGAGATCAGATAGAAGACTGAAGGGGAGGACAGAGGTCAGATAGAAGACTGAAGGGAAGGACGGAGGTCAGATAGAAGATTGAAGGGAAGGCCGGAGATCAGATAGAAGACTGAAGGGGAGGACAGAGGTCAGATAGAAGACTGAAGGGAAGGACGGAGGTCAGATAGAAGATTGAAGGGAAGGCCGGAGATCAGATAGAAGACTGAAGGGGAGGACAGAGGTCAGATAGAAGACTGAAGGGAAGGACGGAGGTCAGATAGAAGATTGAAGGGAAGGCCGGAGATCAGATAGAAGACTGAAGGGGAGGACAGAGGTCAGATAGAAGACTGAAGGGAAGGACGGAGGTCAGATAGAAGATTGAAGGGAAGGCCGGAGATCAGATAGAAGACTGAAGGGGAGGACAGAGGTCAGATAGAAGACTGAAGGGAAGGACGGAGGTCAGATAGAAGATTGAAGGGAAGGCCGGAGATCAGATAGAAGACTGAAGGGGAGGACAGAGGTCAGATAGAAGACTGAAGGGAAGGACGGAGGTCAGATAGAAGATTGAAGGGAAGGCCGGAGATCAGATAGAAGACTGAAGGGGAGGACAGAGGTCAGATTTAGCAAACAGTGGAGAAAATAAACTGGGCGCCATCTTGTGAGGTCCTTTCCTTTCGCAGGCTGCGCCCAGTATATATATATATTTGTATTTTGTTTCATGGCGCAGATAAATCAGAGCGGAGGCTGGGAGCCTCTACCTGCTGTATGTTTACCGCCGGGGAGCGTCATAAAAGCGAACGGCGCTACTAAAGATTAAGCGCCCGGAACCGCGGAAGTGTTTAACGAACCGTTTATAACGAAGGTCTGAGATGCGGCGCTCGTGTTCTCAGTCTGCGCCGGGGAGCGGAATGAATCATACTTAAGTAAATGTGTAGATTTGGAGGCTCGTTTGTAAACGTCAGAGAGGTCACAGGAAATATCGCAGGTCGATCGGACGAATGACAACCCGTAAAACGCCACGAGAAGTCTCTGCGGAAGGTCCGCGGACTGGATTATACTAATCAATAATCATCCATAATCATTTATCGGATTTAGGAGCAATGTTGGCGCAAATTTCAGCCAGACCACATGATGGCATCACAGGATATGGGTAAGGTACAGCAATGATGTGCGGTACCGTTGGTTCTGGCTGAGGCATTCCCCTGCCTCTCCCCCAGCCCACTGAAGCCCCGCCCCTGCCTGTCGAAACCTAGCCTCACCCGCCAAAACTCCGCCCCCAAGCTAGTGTGAAGGAGGGAGGAGACAGGGAGGAGCCTCCCTGTCCCTCACTTGCTCATCTCTGCTGAGGCATGAAGATCGATGGCCCCAGTGGGGTTTTGTTTTATTTTTTTGATTGGACAGCTTGGACCAATAGCGCTTTGCCATTGATCCATCCCATCCACAGAGCTCAAAGAGTAGAGGATGTAACAGCTCTGGCCTCATCAAGTTAGGTTACACAAGCAGTGGGGAAGCCCGCTGCTGTGCACCCTAACTACCTGGCAAAAGCCGGATGCAGCGCTGCTTGTAATTAACATCCAGCGCTTCGTCCATGACAGGTTACACAGCGTAGGGGGGGAGGGGGAGGATTTCCCTTCTGTGTAACCTGTAACAAGCCAATCTGATAGGAGAAAAATCTGTCAGCTTCAGACTTGAAGCTGACAGCTTTTTCCTCCATAATACTAGGTGAGGCTCTGCCCCACCTGCCTCCCCTGACCGCACGTCCCTGAGGTACAGGGTCTTAAAGGTTCAGTCCATCTAAAGGTAGTATACCTGTAGGTGGAGCTGGGTCAGCCTTGTGACTTCCTACATGTCCCCAGCAGTGAGAGTCCTTTGCCACAAATCCCAACAGGGGAAACAGGTTCACATGAAGGTCCATTCATGAACTGCACAGAGAACAGCTCTGCGAATGAGATTCACTGCACCATATGGCCACTAGATGGAGCTATGGAGTATAGGAATTGCCAATGCTCCTCGGCTCCATCTAGTGGTCACAATGTGCTGCGAAGCTCGCTCACAGAGCTGTTCTCTGTGCAAATGGTTCATAAAAAGACCCCTTGACATGGACTCTTCAGCCACTTTGTATGTCTACATCAAATCACAATATACAGCAAATAAAGTTTTGTTTTAAGAAAAGCTCCACCTTTTATTATTAAAGAGCTCCAGTTTCCATGACACATTACTGAGCATGCATGGACTTCATATGCAATACACACTATATTGCCAAAAGTATTGGGACGCCTATTGGAACAGGCATCCCAGTCTTAGTCCGTAGGGTTCAGTATTGGGTTGGCTCCGCCCTTTGTCGCTATAACAGCTCCGCCTCTTCTGGGAAGGCGTTGACAAGGTTTAGGAGTGTGTCTATGGGAATGTTGGACCATTTGTGAGGTCAGGTACTGATGTTGGGAGAGAAGGCCGGGCTCGCAGTCTCCGCTCTAATTAATCCCAAAGGTGTTCTATGGGGTTGAGGTCAGGACTCTGTGCGGCCAGTCACGTTCCTCCACCCCTCCCCCATCCATGTCTTTATGGACCTTGCTTTGTGCACTGGTGCGCAGTCATGTTGGAACAGGAAGGGGCTGTCCCCAAACTCCTCCCACAAAGTTGGGAGCATGAAATTGTCCAAAATGCCTTGGTGTGCTGATGCCTTAAGAGGTCCCTTCACTGGAACTAATGCGCTTCAGCATGCGCTGACCCCGCTCTGTCATATTACGTGGCCGACCACTTCCTGGCTTAGTTGCTGTTGTTCCCAGTTGCTTCCACTTTGTTATAATCCCAGTAACAGGTGACCACGGAATATTTAGTAGCAAGGAAATTTCATGGAACACCTGAATCCAATGATTTGGAGGGGGAGGGGCCCAATACTTTTGGTATTATGGTGTATCTTATGACAGGTCCACTTGATCCCACCCTATAGGTCACAGCGGTAGAAGGCATTCCACTCCTCGTACGGTACATGTTCAGTGTAATGCAGACTGACAGGCTGTGCACAGCTCACAATTACTCCGCCACAACTACAATAATTACTCATTAGTAACCTCATTTGTGCGCGCTAATTACTAAGTCGAGTGTCCGTCATACGTCGCTCTCCCCGAACATATTCCATTCAATATGCTCGTAAAACAATAATCATTTCTGCTCCTGACAGTAATGATTGTAATTGCAGTTTTCAAGTCCTGGGCGGAAAGTATCATTATTGCTGCTGTTTACCAACAATGTTACCATAGAACCCGGATGTCTGATAACAGCAAGAAGAAGTCGGGGCCAGGACCAGATATATATATATACTGTATACAGCATAAAGGGTGAGAAAAGGTATACAGTCACCAGAGGAGATTGTCACTGGAGGGGGATATTGTCACACTATATGGCCAAAGGTATGTGGACCCCCAACAAATGATGGAGTTCAGATGTTTCTAATGAAGGGTATTGTTACTACTACATCAAAGACATTGTAGACAATTGTGCTTTTCCCTCCTTGGGGTAAAGCCAGTTTGGTGAAGGTCCTTTTCTGTTCCAACATGACTGTCCTCTGTGTACAAAGCCAGCTCCATAAAGACATGGTTTGACCAGTTTGGTGAAACTTGAGTTTCCTGCACTGAGCCCTGACCTCAACCCTACTGAACACCTTTGGGATGACTTGGAACACTAATGGTGATCCAGATCTTCTCATCCATCATCAGTACCTGACCTCAACCCTACTGAACACCTTTGGGATGACTTGGAACACTAATGGTGATCCAGATCTTCTCATCCAACATCAGTACCTGACCTCAACCCTACTGAGCACCTTTGGGATGACTTGGAACACTAAAGGTGATCCAGATCTTCTCATCCAACATCAGTACCTGACCTCAAATCTACTGAACACCTTTGGGATGAATTGGAACATCAATTGTGATCCATATCTTCTCATCCAACGTCGGTACCTGACCTCAACGCTACTGAACACATGTCTGCCCCCCTGTGTACAAAGCCAGCTCCATAAAAACATGATTTGACCATATTGGTGTGGAGGAACTTAAGTTGCCTCCACAAAGTCCTGACCTGAACCCTACTGAACACCTTTAGGATGAATCAGAAGGCCAAATATTAGCAAGGTCTTCTCATCCAACATCAGTACCTGACCTCAACCCTACTGAACACGTCTGCCCGCTGCGTGCAAAGCCAGCTCCATAAAGATGTGGTTTGACCATGCTGGTGCTGAGGAACTTGGGTTTCCTCCTCAGAGCCCTGACCTCAACCCTCCTGGACAACTTTGGGATAAATTGGAACACCAGTTGTAAGCCAGGTCATCTCATCCAACATCAGTACCTGACCTCAACCCGACTGAACACCTTTGGGAAAAGTTACAGCACCACTTGGAAGACTGGTCCCCTCGTCTAACATCAGTACCTGACCTCACAAAGCCCTTTTTGCTGAATGGGACCAAATTCCCACAGAAACACTCCAAAATCTTGTGGAAACCCTTCCCAGAAGAGCGGAGGTTTTATAGCCTCAAAGGGGGCCAACCCCATATTAATGGTCATGGTTTTGGTATGGGGTGTCCAACAAGCTTATATAGGTATAATGGTCAGGTGTTTATAAACTTCTGGCCATAGTGTATATTTACGACATGGCTTGCAGCTCATGTCACTGTTCCTACACATCCATAACACTAACACCGCATTTACATCTAGTTGCGGGAACGTGCCTGTCCCCATGTGTATTCCCACAATGCACGACACCTTTCTCCACTTGCAATGGTACCATTCATCCTAAGCCCGCATTGGTAAGGTGGACTGCCATTCAATTTGAATGGCACCCTAACGTACTTTGTGGACACAGGTGTGCTATCACAAAGGGTCAAAGTCCAATTTCCTGGGCTGTTGAGGTTTATTGACACCACATTCATTTGTGCACTGGTGTGCAGTCATGTTGGAACAGGAAGGGGCCATCCCCAAACTCCTCCCGCAAAGTTGGGAGCATGAAATTGTCCAAAATGTCTTGGTGTGCTGATGCCTTAAGAGTTCTCTTCACTGGAACTAAGGGGCCGAGCCCAACCCCTGAAAAACAACCCCCCCCCACCATAATACCCCTCCACCAAACCTGCCTAGCGCAGGACACTTTCACACACACACAATATGTTGGACTTGATGGACTTATGTCTTTATTCAACCTCAAATACTATGCAACTATGTATGTAACATGGCGTTGGAGCGCATGTGTTACCTCAATGCACCTCAATGCTTGGGTGTAAACCTAGCCTAAAGTATAAAACATGCCATCCAGGTTATGTAGCTTCTCATATGTGCTTCTCAGTAGTACTGCAGCCCCTGGTTCAATGAATCCATGCTGACAGCTAGTAGGGCGGTGCCAGTGGAACATTGTGGCAGAACTTCCGGTGTACATTCAGTGCCATTAAGAAGATGTAAGGCCCTTTGAGATTTACCAGGCAAGATCCAAAGATACAAAGTGATAAGGGAAGCCATTCTGCAGGTCAGCCATGTCTCCCCAATCA